TAAATGCAGTTACAACAGATTATCCTGGAAGGATTAGGTACCTCAAGAGTTTGAGCAACACATGAGAAGCTGGTTGAAACAAAAGCAGAAATTGCTGGAGAAAATTAGCAGGTCTGGCAACATCAGTGAGAAGAAAGTAGATATTAATTCCACTTTCTTCCCACAGATGCTGCCAGACCTGCTAAGTTTCTCCGAGAATGTGTCTTTATTTCAGATCTCCAGCATCTACAGTTCTTTGATTTTAGATTAAGTTAGCTGTTTTACCCTGCTACTATGCAGTAGCAATAATGGTGTTTGCCAGTGACAGGATGTTACCATTAAGCCAAAAAATGTTCTGTTTGTCACAATATAGCACTTGTATTGAAAGCTACAGATATTAATGTATGGGTACGCAATGGCCTAGTGGTATTATTGTTGGATTATTAATCCAGAGACTCAAGTAATGATCTCAGGACCTGGGTTTGAATCCTGCCATAGCAAACTGTGGAATTTGAATTCAATGAAAATGTGGAACTCAAGAGTCCATGACAACCATGAATCCACTGTCGATTGTCACAGAAACATATCTGGTTCACTAATGTCCCTTAGGGAAGGAAACTGCCATCTGACCTGGTCTGACCTACACCTGACTCCAGACCCACAGCAATGTGGTTGGCTCTTAACTACCACCTGGGATGGGCAGTAAATGCTAGCCTACCCAGTGATACCCTCATCCTGTGAACACCTTAGAAAAAAAATACAGGGCCCTGTTCTTTATAGACACATACTGCCCTGGTTTCAACTTAAAAATGGCAAAAGCCATTCACTGGTACAGTTATCAAGGCAATGCCATGACCAATCATAGTCAGTCAATCTGTCTGGTTTATAATTTCTGGGGTTGATACTCAATGGTAACATCTCTACCAATTAGACTTCACTTGCCAAACAATCAGCACTTCTCTCATGTGCTATAAGTGTTGGTTTTCTCCTTGGCTTTGTATTCTTGTGCAATGTCCTCATGAAAGCAAGACAAAAAAAACTTCAATAAAGCATTTTTTTTTCCAGCAATATTTAAGTTCTGCACTCCCAGATGACTAAATTCATTAAAGTTCAAGGATGTAGCAAGGAGGCTTAATAACTGGAAACCTGCATACATGTAGTGTATTTGTATTTTCATATGGAATCTGTCAAGGTGCCACAGAAAAAGTCACTGACCAATATAAGAGCCCATTTTCAGGCCAATCCATTAGTATGGATAGAGGATTGGCTAATAGGGAACAAGAGAGTTGGAATAAGTAAATCATTCAGGTTGGCAAACAAACTAATAGCACAATAGATTTTGAACATTCATGACTGCAGTTACTCAAAACAGGCAGTCAAAGGAATTTTTAGATAACTTACCAAGCTTATTAAGAAGGAGCAGTTTAGACATGATACATTAATTAGTGGATACTAATTGTGGCAGGATAGCGGGGAGTAGAGGAAGAAGAGTTCTTAAGAGTCTTACTGGACTTGTAATGTTAACTCGTGCTCCACAGATGCTACCAGGCTTGTTGAGCTTCTTCAGTATTCAGTGTCAGTTTCAATTTCCAACATCCACTGTATTGTATTTTACTCAAATATCTTTTCCTGCTTGATTTGGGTTAAAGGTATGCAGGACTTCAAAACTTTCTGAAACTCCAACTACATGGTTCTCACTGGTTCTCAGTATGTGTATTTGGCAAACGCTATTTCCCTTTTAAAAATCCACGATGACTTTGTGTCATGACATTGGTAATTTGTGTCCCCTAATATCACATCCTTTATAACAGATGGGTTAGGGAAACCAGTCGTAATTCCTGGTTTTCTCTCTCCTTCCACCTTTAAATAGGCAGGTTACATTTGTCACTTGGTAATCTGCCAAAACTGTTAGAGATAAAAGAATTTTGGAAGATTGTAACCAATGCATCCACCACTTCCATGGCCACCTTCTTTTCTACCTTGGGATATAAATGATCAGATCCTAGGAATTTATCACCTACAATCCCACTAATTTTCCTTGGCACCATTTGTGGACTAATATTAGCTTCCTTTAATTCCTCAGAGATAGTAGGAACTGCCAATGCTGGAGTCTGAGATAACAAGGTGTAGAGCTGGATGAACACGGCAGGCCAGGCAGCATCAGAGGAGCAGGAAAGCTGACGTTTCGGGTCTGGACCCTT